GATGCACGCTTTGCACGAGGAGGACTCCGGAGGAGAACCGCGGAAGTTGCGGCGCTACCGGGGGCGCTGAGATTCGCATTGGAGGTGATTCCCTTCACCGCCGAGTCCTTGAAGGATGTTGCATTGTCCTTGAAGGCGAGCCCCTTCATCTTGGACGTTGATCTAGACACGTTCGCGACAGAGAACCACGGATGCAGAGATTTGCGCAGGCTCTTGGGCTATGAGGAGCCCGACTTGAAGTTGCTAGTTGGATGCTTGTGCGAAATCCACGACGCTGACGACATTACCCGTTCCGCTTGTGATGCACAGGAGGCCAAGGGCCGGTCTTTGATGGCCCAGGGCGGAGTAACGGAGGGCGACATGCGGGCGGCGATGAATTTGCTGTGTGCAACACCGGTGCACTACAGCACTGACAGCGAGGTCGAGGCGGCTGTCGCATTGCTGCTGGATTGGGTGAGGGACTTGAGCTCTTCTGGCACACTTCCTGGAACCGTCACGGTGGCACAGTCAACCGATGGGTATTTGCCGCCACGGTATCTTGACATGCTAAGTCCGTTGGCGGAATGGCTCGCCGAAGCTTTGGGTGCTGAGCCTCCGACGTGGGTGCCATGCATCAGATGCGTCAATCTGAATATCGTCAACGACTTAGATGCCGATGCCGAGGTGTTTTTTCTCGTTGAGGACGGGAACGACCCGCTGGTACCCATAACGAAGCTTGAGAAGGGTTCTTCGTACGGCAGCTCCAGCTTCAGCGGGCACACATTCCTCGTCCGCAGCAGCGGCGGAAGCGAACTCAGTCCTGAGGCTTCAGAGACATGGAGGATGGTATCCGTAATCTTTGGCGAGGCAGAGCAGGAGAGGAGGCTGTCCATGTTGCCAGTCGTGAGAGCTCCTGCACAGCTTGGCCGCATTGCTCGGCCTCCGCCTCCGCCGTCAGGAGAGCTCTGACACACTGTGCCCCCCCAATATAGAAAGGTGCCGCTTGCCAGATGGTGCCAGTTCGTGTTGTTTTCTGGTGCGGTTCGTGTCAACCATTGTCTGCGTGTTATGTGTGTCGGAATTTACTCATGTGTTGACGTTTGTGATGTGTGAGTGTGACTGTGTGACTGTGTGACTGTGTGACTGTGAGTGTGTGTGTGTGTTTGTGTCTGTGTGTGTCTGTGTGTCTGTCTGTGTCTGTGTGTGTGTGTCTGTGTGTGTCTGTGTGTGTCTGTGTGCGTCTGTGTGTGTGTGTCTGTGTGTGTGTGTCTGTGCGCGTCTGTGTGCGAGTGTGTCGCACGTGTGTGTGTGTGTGTGTCTATCTGTGTGCCTATCTTTGTGTGTCTATGTGTGCCTGTGTCTGTGTGTCCGTGTGTGCCGGTGTGTCTGTGTGTGTCTGTTTGTGTGTCTGTGTGTGAATGTCTGTGTGTGGCTGTCTGTGTGTGTGTCTGTCTATGTATGTCTGTGTGTGTCTATTGTGTGTGTCTATGTCTGTGTGTCTGTGTCTGTGTGTGTGTCTATCTGTGTGGGTCTGTGTGTGACTGTGTGTGTCTGTGTGTGTCCGTGTGTGTCTGTGTGTGTGTGTCTGTGTGTGTTTGTGTGTGTCGTTGTGTGTCTGTGTATGTGTCTTTGTGTATGTATCCGTGTGTCTGTGTGTTTGTGTGTGTGGTGTCTGTGTGTCTGTGTGTCTGTATGTGTCCCTGTGTCTCTGTGTCAGTGTGTGTGTGTGTCTGTGTGTATGTGTCTGTGTGTGTCTGTGCGTGTGTCTGTTTCAGTGTATATGTGTGTCTGTGTGTGTGGTGTGGTGTGTTTGTGTGCTGCATGTGTGTGTTGCATGTCGTGCGTTTCTCCTGTCACGCGTGTCGTGTATTTTATTCCCAACCCTCCTTGTCTGGGTATTCGTTTTGAATAGAGCACTGTGGTCGCGTCCCTTCTGCCGCATCCCGTCTCCTCCTGCCCTCTCTTCGCCGACGATGGGGGCTGCGATCTGCGAATTTGTCGCCACTTCCGAGGGCTGTTGGTGGGTCCTGCGGAGTGAGGCGCCGCGCGGACTTGAGCGAGGCCTCGCCGTCCCTGGGGGGCTGCGATCTGCGAAGCTGTCGCCACTTTCGAGGGCTGCTGGTGGGTCCAGCGGAGTGGGGCACCGCGCGGACCTGAGCGAGGCCTCGCCGTCCCTGGGCGGGCTGCGATCTGCGAAGCTGTCGCCACTTTCGAGGGCTGCTGGTGGGTCCTGCGGAGCGAGGCACCGCGCGGACCTGAGCGATACCTCGCCGTCCCTGGGGGGCTGCGATCTACGAAGCTGTCGCCACTTTCGAGGGCTGCTGGTGGGTCCAGCGGAGTGGGACACCGCACGGACCTGAGCGAGGCCTCGCCGTCCCTGGGGGGCTGCGATCTGCGAAGCTGTCGCCACTTTCGAGGGCTGCTGGTGGGTCCTGCGGAGCGAGGCACCGCGCGGACCTGAGCGAGACCTCGCCGTCCCTGGGGGGCTGCGATCTGCGAAGCTGTCGTCACTTTCGAGGGCTGCTGGTGGGTCCAGCGGAGTGAGGCACCGCGCGGGCTTGAGCGAGACCTCGCCGTCCTTGGGGGGGCTGCGATCTGCGAAACTGTCGCCACTTTCGAGGGCTGCTGGTGGTTCCTGCGGAGTGAGGCTCCGCGCGGACTTGAGCGAGACCTCGCCGTCCTTGGGGGGCTGCGATCTGCGAAGCGGTCGCCACTTTCGAGGGCTGCTGGTGGGTCCAGCGGGGTGACGCACCGCGCGGACCTGAGCGATACCTCGCCGTCCCTGGGGGGCTGCGATCTGCGAAATCGTCGCCACGTTCGAGGGCTGCTGGTGGGCTCGCCACTTTCGAGGGCTGCTGGTGGGTCCAGCGGAGTGAGGCACTGCGCGGACCCTGGGCGGCCATGTCATGTTGTTGCTGCCCCGTCGACGTTTCAAGCCCCTTGCCCACAGTCTCGGTTTGGACCTTGCGTCTTCCTTAGTGACTCAGGTGTTCACTTAGTTACTCATCGTGTTTCCTTTGATTGGGGACCTGCGAACCTCCCGAATGCCGCTCGCAGAAGTATACGCGTCCATGCCACGGCGCCGCCTTCTGGTCAAGTCTCCCAAGCTATCCCTGCCCCGCATTGCGCAGGGGTTGGGTACGTCGCCAGGGTAATTGTTAGAAGTGTTGCATGCCATGCAAGTCGCGCGTCACGCATGTTTGGATCGTTGCGGTTCTGTGCATGCTCGTGCCAAACATATGCGTGTTGCGGTTCGTGTTTGTTTCTCCACATTCTTGAATTTGGACACGACACAGATCTTGCATGTAGAGCGGAGGCTGAACCACATATGAAACACGCCGCGTCGCGTGACATGCACGGGGGGGCTTTCTCTAGGGCAATTTAAGTTGACATCATAATACGTATTCGTTTACATGTGTGTGTGTGTGTGACTCGGCAAGGCCCCTGGTTGAGAGGTGAACCCTGTTTGTTTACATAGACTTCATGCAAAAAGGCATGTTGGAGGGTCATAGGGACAATCGTATGGAAGGGCTACCGTCGCTTTACGGATGGCGAGTTTGAGGATGATTGAGGCCATGGTTACGATGATGATAATCATGGCCATCATGATGACGTGATGATGTTTATGACGATGGTTATGATCATGATGATAGTGGGTGTTGGGTAGATGTTTTGCTGCTGCCGTGACCGAATGCAATCTGTGATGAATAGTACTGCGAACGTGAGGGCGATGATGTTGACGTTGATGTTGTTGATGATGTTGCTGATGCTGATTCTGAGGATGACAATTATGATGATGCTGGTGATGGACATGATGATGCAGATGATGCTAATCATGGTATTGGTGATAATGGTTATGATGATACATATGGTAACGGTATTGTTGGTGATGTTGAGCATGATGATGACGACACGTATGGTGATGACAACAATGATGATGATTACAATGATGATGATGATGATGATGATGATGATGATGATGATGATGATGATGATGATGATGATGATGATGAACATGATGCTGAATAGTATTACCTCCAACGTGATGAAGACCATGATGCTCAGGATGGCAATGTTGATAATGTTGTTTATGATGATATGGTTGGTGACTTTGATGATGGTTATAATGAAGATGGCGAATCTGATGATGGTGAGGGTGAATCTGATGATGGTGATGGTGATGAGGATGACAATGAATCGAAAAGTATAAAAGGGTCTGGGGGAAGGCAGAATCCTCCGCAGTGTTATATTTCGAGAGCCGTAAATCGTTGCACCTCTCGCACACATTACGGGCGGAAGCGCCCTGTGTGAAGTAATTACACCGCCAGGATCTCATTGAGAGGTGCTCGAGGGAGGTCCTGGCAGGACCTTCCGGGGCCCGACACACCGGACGGAAACGCCCGGTGTGAAAGAATTGCAACGGCAGGATCTCAGGGAACGGTGTCCGAGGGAGGTCCAGGGATCGAGTAGGGGATCGTTTGCAAATTGATTCACCAAACCAGAATATATTATATTCCCGAGTGTGCAAACACATTCGTAGTCATCAGGTCCTTAGATCTACGAGCATTATAGGTTTTCTTGGGACTCCACGAACAAGTCAACTCTGGGGTGAAATCAATTGTGTAGTCGATCCCTTAGTGGAAAACCTATGCCAAGAAGCACCCTGCTTGCCTCCAGGATGCCCTTGGTTTCTTCGGTCTCGACGGTCTTGCTATGGAAAGCGTGACGTTCCCACACCAAAAATCAGTGGACGTATTGGGGTCTCAGGGTTGGGTTTCTCGGGGAAGGCTGCTGGTGGTCCAGCTCCTACTGCATACGTGTGTTCATTTCCCCGTAGACCCGACGAGCAAATCTGTCTTGGGGTGGACTCCATTCTGCCGTCGATCCCCCGCTCGAGGAGAGGCGGCTCCTGTGCCCGCGGCGCGGAGGCGCTTCTGCCCCTGATCTCCACGGGGGTTGGCCGCCCGCGCTCGGCCGCCCCGCCCCCCCGGCCCGCCCGCGAGCCCCCGGGGCCGCCCGAGGTCGCGTGGAGGGCCCTGCTGCGGGAGTGGCACCCCGACAAGAACCCGGACCACGTCGAGGTGGCGACAGGATCCCGTTTCGGCCACGCGCGCAAAGGGGCTCCTCCTCCTCCTCCTCCTCCTCCTCCTCCTCCTCCTACTACTACTACTACTACTACTACTACTACTACTACTACTACTGCTACTTCTCCTCCTCTCTGCAACGCTGGCGCGACCCTCACTTCCTCCCGCAGCCCCAGCGCGGTGACCCCTCGCGCACGCTCGCCCGCCGAGGCCGCGGTTTTCCACCACCGCCCGAGGACGCAGGGGAGAGGAGCCCTCCTCCCTCCCTCCCTCCCTCCCTCCCTCCCTTCCGTCCCTCCTCCCTCCCCCCCAAGAGGGGGGAAGGCTTCTCAGAGGCACCCCTGCTTCGTAGAAGGCGCGGGCCTCGTCTGCAGATGCAGGGCTGCTGCATTCGGAGGAGCCGCCTCCTTTTCACGCCTTCCCCGAAGACACGGAGCATTTCTCGGAAGCCGCGAGGGTTTCTAAGAAGCCCCGCGAGGAGGAGGAGGAGGAGGAGGAGGAGGAGGAGGAGGAGGAGGAGGAGGAGGAGGAGGAGGAGGAGCCGTTCCTCGCTCGCCGCCCAAAAAACGCGCGTCCGTGCCGGCGCGGGCCGGTGCCCTCCGACCCGACGGCGCGCGGGGAGCTCCCCCCCGGCAGCGTGAGGGCGAGAGGCACGTCGATGGCCCGGAGAGGTCCACGATGGCCTCTGGAGGTCTCCGGCGGCCCAGCGGCCAGCCAAAAAGCCAGGCTTTTTCGGACGAGCTGCGATCCTCAAACTGCGGCCTTCCATCGGGGCTCGAGCGTCGCAAGGGTCCTCGCTTACTCCCCCAGTAGCCGAATTCTACCCGAAAAGTTTGGCCGCTCAGACAAGAACCCGTTTCTGTATTGATTGGGGCATGACGGGCGTCATGACCCACGCTCCCCCTCCCCCTATGACGTAACGCTCCCCCCCCAGTGCGCTCTGGGCACTGCCGCCGTGCGTTTTGTGATCCGCGTAGGTGTCCGCGTAGGAGTCTGGTCCGCAGTCGTCGTCGTCGTCGTCGTCGTCGTCGTCGTCGTCGTCGTCGTCGTCGTCGCTCGTGGCTTGTCGCTCGTCGCTCATAATCGTCGTGTGCGCGGACGCGGCTGAAACCTGTTTTTTTCTAATTCCGGTCCGATGACGGTAATCATTTAGGGGGGGGTGGAGGGGGTCGATGTCGTCACGTTTCGCGCTGGCGGCGTCTGGGAATGCCTAGGAATGATGAAGGACGAGTCGCACTAGCATGTAGAAGGCGATTTGCACCACAACGCCTGTGTACACCACAGTGCTTGCGTGCACCGCAGCTCCTGTGTACACCACACCGCCTATGTACACCACAGCAGCCATGTGCAACACAGCGTCAGTTTGTGCCACCGTGCCGCGGGCACAACAGCTCTTGTGCACACCACAGCTTTTGCGTACACAACATCAGCCGTATGCGACACAGCACCAGTGTACACCAAAATGCCTGCGTGCATAGCAGTGCCTGTGTGCACCACGGCGCCTGTGTGCACCACAGCAACCGTGTGCAACACAGCACCACTGTTGTATATAGACTGTGCTAACGAATCCTTATGAAAAAATGAAGCGCTTGTGGGTACCACAGAAAACAATTTAAAAACATATAATCCTTATGGACAACGGAGCGCGCTAGAATTTACGAGTCCTCCGGAGTCCGCCCGCATCACCCTAACTCCTCCCATCTGCGTCCAGGAGGGTCCAGCTAAATTGGCCGTTAGAGAACCAAGTGGACCGATTCAATGGACGATCCTGCGGTGCGCGCTGAGATGCGCACGTGCGCTGTAGCGCCAATCCGCACGAAAGGGGGTAAGGAGGAGGAGGAGGAGGAGGTGGTGGAGGTGGACGATAAGGGAGGAGGGAATAGGGTCGCATTCGATTATCAGCATTTTCCTGGCGTGGCGTCGAGTTGTTCGCAGCAGATCCGCACGTACATGCTCCTTCTACCTGTCCTATGCACGCAGGCATTGTGGTGCACACCAGCGCTGCGTTGCACGCGGATGCTGTGGTGTGAACGCGCGCTGTGGCGTGCAAAGGCGCTGCGGTGCACGCAAACACTGTGGTGTACACAGGTGGTGCGTTGCACATGGTAGCTGCAGTGTGCACGTGTACACCAGCGCTGTAGTTTACGCAAGCACTGTGGTGTACACAGGCGCTGCGTTGCACACGGTTGTTGCTGTGTGCGCAGGCGTTGTGGTATACACGCGCATTGTGGTGCACGCGAGCGCTGTGGTGTACACAGGCGCGCGGGGGCATATCGCCACCTACATGCTGCTCGCGTCGTCGTCGTCGTCGTCGCTCGTCGCCCGTCGCCCGTCGCCCGTCGCGTCGCGAGTGCGGATGCGGCTGCGGTGCCGGAGCCACGCGGCGGGGGGGGCGTTGCGTCATACCCCCCCATGACGCCCTTCGTCGCCGAGCAAAAGGAAACGTGCTCCAAAGAGGGAAACCCTGAGATACACCCGAAGCGGGCTATTCGGACGCACCACTATCGAGGATGGGCGCCCCCCATCGTATACCCCATTGCTTGTCGATTTGGAAACCGCACGAAGCCTTGGATAGGGTTCGACATATCCCTTGGTAGGACAAAAAAAACAACCGAAGTCGAAGAAGAACAAACGGCATACACAGAGTGCGAGTTCCGTACTGATTTCTTGGATCTGCGCTGGACCCCCCTGGCGGCGCCTCCGGCGCCGCCCCTGGCGCGCTCCGCGAGGCAGGGAGGGGCTTCCAGCCCAGACAAGAATCCTCGCGGACCGTCAGAAGTTCATGTTTATGCCGTTTTCTGTGTCTCTGTGATCATAAGACTGCGCGACAAGGATGCAAGGGCGACGTTTGAGCTGGGAGCGGTCGGAGGCCGACGGACGAGCCCACCCCCAGGGGCAGCGGGGGGTCCTCGCGCCTCGGGCGCTGCGGCCTGTGCCGGAGAGCGGCCCTTCCTCGGAGCGGTCCCCCAAAACGAGAGGCCAACTGCTGCGTCTGACTGTATGTGTGTGCGAGGTGGGAACACAGAGGTTGGTTGCTTGTCCTCTGGCGCGTAGCGTTCGTTACCCGCGCCAGCCCTCCCCAGGCAACGGTAACGATCGTCCGTAAGGAGAGTTTTGGACCCCCCACACATGCTAGTGATCGCGTGTGTACGGCTGCGATCGCAGCGCACCCCCGCTCCGACGTGTTCCGACCCGCGTCAGCGTTACTGTTATTTGGGGCCTCCCCCCCGGGTAGCGACCGTCATCGAGCATCATATGAAAGACAAGCTCACGGTCACGACGCTGAGATATGGAACGGTAGCCATGCGACAGCGGCGCGACAACAACGGGGCAACCATCTAACAACCATCCGAACAATGTCGAGAACGACGGGACAACCACGGGACGGCCACAGGACAGTTGCGGGAGATTCACGGGACGCCCACGGGCTAACCGCGGGACAACAGCGGGACAGCCACGGGACATTCACGGGACAGCCACGGGACAGCCAAACATGGGAGGACGGATTCGGGTTTCCGGGCCGTTCCGCAGATTTATCTTCGGGGGAACTCTTCGTAGTTGTGGTTCGCCATGGCCATAAAAGCCCCTTCGGTCTTTCTTCTGCGTTCCGCATGGTGGCACGATGACTCGGCAGCGAGCGAAGGGGGGAAGTGAGAAGGAGCAGGCGTTCTCAAAAGGCTCGGAAGGCCCCCCCCGCCTCCTGAGAAGCTTCCTGCGCCTCCCCCGAAGACGCAAACAACAGCTTTTATCGCGAGGGTCTCTGAGAGGTCCCACCGCCTTCTGAGAAGGCCTTCCCCTTCTCACTTCCCCCCCTCGGCTTGGCATCGCTCGGACGTGTGCATTTTTCCTTCGGCGTGGACCATCGAGGAGCATCCTTGATCATTTGGCGAAAAAAACACGCACGAAACCGAACAAAAACACAGGGAAGTGACGTCCGAGCGATGGCCAGTCGGTCGCCGCCGAATGGCTGCGTCCGGGGGGGGACGGACCAGGTTTTGCCCCCAGGGGCGCAGAGTTGAGAGCGCCTCGCGCGTCCCGGGCCCGTGCCCGAGGGCGGCCCTCTCTTGAGGCGACCTCGCGAGTCGATCGCGCAGTCGCGGATCGCGGGGCGCGATGCTCGAAGCCAGATGGCCTCGATTTGAGTCGGGCCTGTCCCCCTACAGGGCGATTTTCGACGAACAAAACAATCATACCCCAAAACATAGTCAAAAAATAATCCAAAAATAGTCTGGGGACTATTTTTGGAGTATTTTTTTTACCTTTTGGGGGCATTTTGGGGGTATTTTTTATTTTTCGTCGAAAATCCCCCTGTAGGGGGACACGCCCGACATAAGCCTAGATCGAGCCCCCACTTTGCAAAGTTGACTGAAGCTGACTAGCGAGTTGCCCCTTCTCCTTGCTAGGGAGGTTGCTGCGGCCGCAGCTCCTGTGGCTCTGCACCCGCGGTCTGCTGGAGAGTGGTGACTGTCCACCTCCGAGAGCGCGCGCTTGCAGCAACGATGCGCTCCCAGCTGTCTTCCAGTTCCTGCAGAAGGGAAAGCAGCTTCTGAACGATCAGGCGCCCAAGGGCTCCACTCATGCCATTCCACATCCCGCCCGGCTCCTGGACAAGCCAGAAGTTGAAAAGCATGCTCTCGCCGACTTCCCATCCTCGCCGGTTCAGTTCACTCAGTCCTCTCGTGCTCTGGGCAAAATTTTGATGACGGCGCCGCTGCGGGGGAGCGCGGGCTCCCGTGGCGCAAGGGCAGGGGCGGGATTTCGATAGCATGTGACGGACGCCACAGGAGCGACGGACGCTGCAGGCTCGGCGGGGGCCGTGAGCCCAGCAGAGCTTCACCAGCCTCGAGCCCATCCCTATTCATAGCAGTGGCGCGCCGAAGGCGACGGCAATCCTGGGGATGTGCACTCCGAAACTAGTGGAATCCTTGCTCGGTATCGGGATAGGGTGATACCGATCGCACGGGCTGGTACATGCTGGCTGATGCTGGCTGTAGGTCGGACATGTCCTCCTACAGGTGGATTTGGGACGAAAAACTACTATTTACACACATAGCCAACAATAGTGCAAAGAGCACGAAACATCGTCCCCAGATTTGTTTCACTATCCTCGAGTCTTGCACGCCCGACTTCGCGCTGGCGGGTCGACGACGAGCAGCAGCAGCAGCAGCTTCCTTGGCAGGTCGAGGGGGTGCGGGGCAGGAGTGGGCGCCCCACGGCTGCCGAGGCTCGAGATTTGGACGCCCGAAATGGGTACCGAAAAAATGGGTACGATGCCCAGCAGCAAATGCTGTCCCAAACCAACAGCGGCCGCTGTTGGGCGGGCGACCTCCTGTCTCGAATGGACACAGGGCGCGGCGGCGTGGGCAGCGAGTCCTGTTCAGAATGAGCAGGAACTGCTGTTGGGCATCGTACCCATTCTCTCCGTGCCCATCTCGGGCGTCCAGACGAGAGGCGGGCTCTGGGTCGGCCCCGCCTTGGGTGCGAATGGCTGCCCTCGCGCTGCGCTGCATCGGCGGGGGCCCCCCGCCTGTCCAACCCGGTGTCTTTCCTTCCGGCCCGTCGCGGGCTCGCTGCGGACTCGACGCAGATTTGGCGTGGATTCGACGCGGATTCGATACGGATCCGACGAGTCCGACGTGGATTCGACACGGATTCGACGCGGATCAGTCCGCGACGGGACAGTCAAGGGCCTTTGAGGATACAATCTAATTCACGTCCCTAGGCGGAGACCGACAGCGTAAGCCTGCAGTCCTCGACAGACTTAGCCTCAAAGCTGCTGACGCACCCCATGCAGTGCCCCGAGGGAGGAAACGAACATCATCAACATCAGCTTTCGGACCTTCCTGGGCGAGGGTATTAGATTGGTGCGGGGGCCCCCCATGCGGCGTCTCCGTCGCTTCCGCCTGCGCGTTTCGCGCGCGTTTGGGAGGTGGGGCCAATGCCAATCCAAGGAACCCGCGCGGGTCTCCGAAAGTCAGTGGTTATGTTCTTGTTTCTTTCAGTGTCACCCCCATTCGATTTTTCCATGTCAACCCCGTCAATGACGAAGCAGGGTGCGGCTGGGAAGTTTCACGATAACCAGCATTGGAGAGGGGGCGCCAACAATCACTATGGACGCAATGTCACCCATGCCCAGAGTAACAACTGTGCGACCAAATTGCGTCGCGCATTTTTGAGGTGAGCTGACCTTCTCCAAGGGGGCGGTGCGAGGCTCGCGAGGACTCGAAGATGATCGCGCACTGCGGGGCGCGATGCGCGACGTGCGGGACCCTACGGTAGGTTCGTGTCGTGTCGACGCGGTGATGACCCCAGCGCGGGTGTTCAAGGCTGAACACCGCCAGTGGCCCAGAATCGGCCAATATGGAACGATCTGGCGATCGAAAAGCCACCAGCCGAAAGGGGATACAAGAATCCACGTCGTAGTCGGCGTCGACGTCGGATGAGATGGAGCCCCCAGACACAGACAGTTCGGTCCGGAGCCATCCGAGAGCGTTCCAGAGCGCTCTGGATGGAACGCGGCGTCGGAAGCATGCAGCCTTAGGTAAACGCGTATACTCGAGCAGGAACAAGCCGCATACACATGAAGGGTCGGCGCTCCGCGCAGATATCTTGGATCGGCGCTGGCACACCGGCGCCTCCAGCGCCGCCCTTGGCGCGTTCCGCGGACCGGGGAGGGGGGTCCCGCGCCGACCTTGGAAACCCGCGCGGATCGTCGAAGGTTTGCGTTGATGCAGCGATAGCGAACTTCTGAGCGAAGTAGGCGAGAACGGTGAAGTCCTACAAGCCCTACAAAAAGTTGATGCAGTTCATTTGGCTCCTCTGCACATCTCCTTCCTTGCGCTCGGTGTCCACTGCTCACGCCGTGGGCTTCTTCCTGCCTCCAGGAACAGAGGGGTCTCAAGCCGCCCGCGGCCGCGCCCGGCGGCCCACGTCCCCCCTCCTCCCCCTCCTCCTCCTCCTCTTCCTCCTCCTCCTCCTCCTCCTCCTCCTCCCTCTCCTCCTCCTCCTCCTCCTCCCCCTCCTCCTCTCCTCCTCCTCCTCCTCCTCCTCCTCCTCCTCCTCCTCCTCCTCCTCCTCCTCTTCCCCCCCAAGCGCCCGACGCGTCAGGCCTTCTCCGTCCCGAGCGCCGCCGCCGCTGCCGTGCGGCGGCGGATTCCGAGCCTAACCCTGGCCCAGCATCGATCAGTCAACTCGATGGGCGGCGGGGGTCGGGTTCGTAATTCGTCGAGCACGTGGCGAAATCCGAACCTTACCCTCGCATCCCATCGATTCGGTAGAATCGGCGGCTGGTGGGTGTAGGGTTCGGATGTCGCCGTCGCCGTCCTCTTCGTCGTCGGGCCCGAGCGGCGCTCTCGAATGCACTGCGGCGGCGGCGCGTGCGACCGTTACGACGACGACCACGACGGCGACGACGGCGGCAGCACGACGACGACGGCAACGACGGCGACGGCGACGTCCACACCGACCACCACGACGACAACCACGACTGACCACCACGACTGACCACCACGGCGGCCTCCTCGTCGTCGTCGTCGCCGCCGCCGCTCCGTCGTTGTCGTCGTCGTCGTCGCCGTCTACGCCGTCGCGTCGTCGTCGTCGTCGTCGTCGTCGTCGTCGTCGTCGTCGTCGTCGTCGACTCATGGCCCCCGCGCCCCGCGGCGCCCGCTGGCGACGCTCCCTCAGAGGCGTAGCCCCGCCGTGCCGTCGGCGGCACGCCGAAAGGCGCCCCCCCAGGCGGCGCAGAGGGCGGGGCGCGGCCGCCGCGGGGCGCGCGGCGGCGGCGGCGGCCGCGGCGGGGGGCGTCCCTCCGTGGTTCGGATCGGCCCTGAGATTCGACGACGGCGGCCACGACCACGACCACGACGACGACGTGAACTGACGTTGACGACGACGACGACGACCACGACCACGACCACGACCACGACGACGACGTGAACGACGACGACGGCGACGGCGACAGCGGCTGCGGCTGCGGCGGCGGGGGGCGTCCCTCCGTGGTTCGGATCGACCCTGAGATTCGAGGAGAACACACCATCTATACAAGCTGAGTTGTGGCAGGATCTGATCAACAGTTCGCTTTCTGTAGAATTGCCAGCTTGAATCGACGAGTCATTGCATAAAAAGATCGTCGAGAAACTTGTCTGCTTGAATCGCCGAGGAGCCCCCATTCAAATCTTCGAAGAACAAAAACACGACATACACATGAGCTTAGAGCGCTCCGCGCGGATTTCTTGCATCTGCGCTTCCCCCCCGCGCCGGCTAATACCTGCTGTATGGATCGGATGTGGGCACTTAGCGTACGCCTAAGGCGTGACGTGGCTCACCAGGCCCCTTCCGACCGAAACACCCTGCACTTTTTCACGCCAATGGGCTGCTGGTGGGAGCGCACCGGACACCACAGAAGACAAGGCGCTTTACCCGCCAATGGACCCCATCTCCAGGCAGTCTGATTGCAGGGTAAGAGACGGCTTAACAGACAAGACAGCGCTTCCCAGGGCTCCCCCTTGCGTCACCGAATTCTCTTACGATGCCGTACACCTTAGGCGATGCTTAAGAAAATTAAATTTTCGGCCAGGGTCTCGATGATTCTTCATGATTCAGTGTAAATCCCAAGATCTGAACAGAAATTCTGGGTTTTCTGTACTCCAGTTCTGAGACCATGCATTTCTGAACCCATGACTTCTGAAGCATGTCTCGCAGGGTGTACAGTCGCCACGCCCTGGTCGAGCAGAGATTACGCACAAGGCAAAAAAAAAAACATGCAAGGCAAACAAAAAAAAACACCACAGGCAAAAAACAACGTTTTTGCCTGTGGAGCGTCGCCGACGCGGAGGGGAGCAGGGGAGCACCCCCCCCGCCTCGCGCGCGCTCTCCGGTAGGGTCCGGGGGCCCGACGCGCAAGGCAAAAAAAAAGCGCCACAGGCAAAAAAACAGGTCACGATTCCTTCTTTGGGCCCCAGGAGCGCCACAGGCAAAAACCCAGGTCACGATTCCTTCTTTGGGCTCCAGGAGCGCCACCGACGCGGAGGGGAGCAGGGGAGCAGGGGAGCACCTCCCCGCCCCGCGCGCGCTCTCCGGCAGGGTCCGAGGGCCCGACGCGCAAGGCAAAAAAAAGGCGCCACAGGCAAAAAAACAGGTCACGATTCCTTCTTTGGGCCCCAGGAGCGCCACAGGCAAAAACCCAGGTCACGATTCCTTCTTTGGGCCCCAGGAGCGCCACCGACGCGGAGGGGAGCAGGGGAGCAGGGGAGCACCTCCCCGCCTCGCGCGCGCAGTCCGGCAGGGTCCGGGGGCCCGGCGCGCAAGGCAAAAAAAAAGCGCCACAGGCAAAAAAACAGGTCACGATTCCTTCTTTGGGCCCCAGGAGCGCCACAGGCAAAAACCTAGGTCACGATTCCTCCTTTGGGCCCCAGGAGCGCCACCGACGCGGCAGGGGAGCAGGGGAGCACCCCCCTGCTCCGCGCGCGCTCTCCGGGCCGATTCCTTCTTTGGGCCCCAGGAGCGCAGGACACGACAGGAGCGGGCTGCAGCTGAGGAGGAGGAGGAGGAGGAGGAGGAGGAGGAGGAGGAGGAGGAGGAGGAGGAGGAAGGAGGAAGAGGAGGAGGAGGAGGAGGAGGAGAGGAGGAGGAGGAGGAGGAGGAGGAGGAGGAGGAGGAGAGGAAGGAGGGGGAGGAGGAGGAAGAGGAGGTGGATGAGGCGGAGGCGCAGGAGGAGGCAGGAGACGGAGAGGGAGGAGAGGAGGAGGAGGAGGAGGGGAGAGGAGGAGGAGGAGGAGGAGGATGGGGAGGAAGAGGAGGAGGATGATGAGGAGGACGAGGAGGAAGAAGAGGAGGAGGAAACACAGGAGGAGAAAAAGAAGAAGGAGGAGGCGGAGGAAGAGGAGGAGGAGGAGGAGGAGGAGGAGGGAGGAGGAGGAGGAGGAGGAGGATGGGAGGAAGAGGAGGAGGAGGATGATGAGGAGGACGAGGAGGAGGAGGAGGAGGAGGAGGAGGAGGAGGAGGAGGAGGAGGAGGAGGAGGAGGAGGAGGAGGCGGAGAGGGAGGAGGAGGAGGAGGAGGAGGAGGAGGAGGAGGAGGAGGAGGAGGTGGAGGAGGAGGAGGGGGAAGAGGAGGAGAAGGAGGAGAAGGAAAAGGAGGAGGAGAAGGATAAGGAAGAGGAGGAAGAGGAGGAGGAGGAGAAGGAAAAGGAGGAGGAAAAGGAACATGAGGAGGAGAAGGAGGAGGAGAAGGAGGAGGAAGAGGAGAGGGAGGAAGCGAAGAAGGAGGAGGAGGAGGAGGAGGAGGAGGAGGAGAAGCCACTGGGGCTCAGGCCATTTTGGCGGAGCACAGGGCTCAGGCGCCGCGCCCCCTCACGGTAGTTGCTCGTGAAAGCTCCCGCGGCTAGGCCGGCGGCTGAGCACCAGAGGGCGCGCGCGACCCACGGCGCGCTCGGGGCGCCGCAGGGGCTCCCCCGAGCCAGCCTGGCACAAGAGGCAGCGGGCACAGCGAGGGCGAGCTCGCCTTCTCCTCAGTGTGTTCCAGGCCAAGCGCCTCCTCGAATCGCATCACAGCACGATGGGTGGAGGTACTTGGACATGCAGGCAGTGCGAGACAAGAAATCCTAACTCTCAGTGGACATGCTCATGTGGCAACGTGTGGGCTCCTCGCCCCGATCCCACCAGACGTTCGGCCAGCAGAAAAAGGGACCAGAAGAAGTCCGCCAGCATAAGGGAGTTGATCGCACAGATCCTTGTTGCAGCACCTGATGAAGCGATTGCCAACATCACGGTGTGGGAGCCGCCGCCACCAGAGGCGGACGAGCTGAAGTTCTACAAATCAAGGGCCCAGTCGAAGCTCCAGAAGTTCGCCAACCTCCTTGTCGCGGTCCGTGACGCAGGGAAGGAGGACCCAGCCCTGGAGTTCGACATAGGGGTGCTCAAGTACATGATGAGTGCATGCAAGGGCTCAGAGAAACAGTTGCATGAGTTGAAGGCCCAGCTCATCAGCGCAAAAGAGAGGCTCGGCAAGATTCGAGCTAAGATCGAGGAGCTGTTAGACGAGGAGGCGACGCTCTGCCTGATGGTGCAGAAGCTGCAGAACTCCATCCAGCAGCTACGAGAAGCGGAGGACGCACCAGATCACGAGGAAGACTGGTTGATGGCCCCGCCAGGAGGAAGTGAACATGGTCTCAGAGCAGCCAGCAGTGCCCAGAGGCCGTGGGTGCAGGCGGCGGCTGAGAGGGCGGCAGCACAGGCGGAGGCAAAAGCTCAGTCAGCCAAGGCCGCGGCGGAAGCAATCGCCAGCAGAGTGCCGCCGCCGCCGCCACCAACGCCCAATCAGCCCATGGCACAGACTCAGGCATATCAGCCACCCCAGAAGGCAGCACCAAGGGCAGCCTCAGGGGCGCCGCGCAGCCAGCCAGCCACTGCAGCCGCTGCGCCGAAGGCTACAGAGCCCGACGGCCCGCGTGCAGCATGGCACAGTGGGCTTCGTACGGAGGGGCAAGAGGGCCCAACGGCGGCGGCCATCACTGCGATGACGGAGCAGATGAGAGCCGTGCAGGCCCAGCAGCTAGCCATCCAGGAGCACCTCTCGAGGATGCAGACGGGCCAGAACTTCCATGCCTTCGCCCTGGCCAGGGTATTGGGAGTCGGCATCGGTGCAGCAGCAGGTGATGTCCTCATGGATGCGCAGACGATTCAGAAGGCACAGCGGGCGGTGATTTCGGGACTCTCGATCCCTAGTGCGAGCCCCCCTGATCTTCAGGGGTTGGCGCCTGAGCGCACGCAGAGGGACCCCGCCTCCACGGCGCCAGGTTTTGGCGAAGCCCCCCCTGGTGCAGCGCCAGCCACGGGGCCGAGGGCGCCCACGCAGCGCAGAGCGAGCTCGCTAGAGCCTCCCGTGGCAAGGACACCGCCGCCGAAGAGACAGTCGGCATCGCCGAAACCAGCCAGGGCCCCATGCAGAGGCGTCTCAGCCGAAACCAGGGCCCAGGCCGAGGAGAAGGCAGTTCCAGACACACCGAGGGCGAAGGGCGTGTCCAGGGTGACAGCAGAACTGCAGAGGAACGAGCCCAAGGAGGAGGTCCTGCCGATAGATCCAGAGCTACTGATCGCGACGCAGCCAATGGTGATGGAGGAAATGATACCTGGGCCAGCGCACATCTTGCAGCACATCCAGGGGGCCTCCATCGACCTGATCAGTCAGACACAGCGCTCTCCCACGCCACCGCCGGCGCAGAGGTCGCCTGGATCGCCAGTGGATCCTCCCCAGCCAGTGCCAGCGGCGCTGTTCCCCCCCGCGTGGGCAGCAGCAGCAGCAGCGGCAGCAACATCTTCAACGGCAGCATCGTCAGCATCGGCAGCGCCTGCGGCAGTGCCCGCGGCATCAGCAGCGGATGCACCTCCTGCGGCTTCGAGGACCCGACCGCTAGAGGAGGAGGAGAACAAAGAGAGGGACATGGGAGACTCGCCCAACAGGTCCCCCCCAAAGAAGATGCAGTGCCAGGGTTACGAGCTGGAAGACGGGTCCAACTTGTAAGGCCCAGCAGGGTCTCATGGGGCACAGTCGAAGTGAAGTGCTCTGAAGCGCATGCACCCATAATTGTCCGACAAGCCAGGGAGACGCTTTCTCGGACCTGTTTCACTAGGCCGATTCTTAGGTCGGCCCATGCCTCGGATATCTCGACCAAGGGATGTGGTCTTGGGAATTCGCAGCCAGGCAATATTTCTTCGGCAGCCACTTCAGGTGATGCCACTGAGGACTCATCATCAGCTTCCACTCGGTCCAACGGCCGAACGAGGTATCGCTTGCGGGGCAAGGCCTCGAAGGAGCATCTTTTCTTGCCTCGTCCTCGCGAAGTACAGCACGCTGCACATGGGGCGCGAGGACACGAGGCCAATCAAACGTCAATTACAGTTGCGGTGGTGACTGCCCCTCCCCCCCCGCCGCCGCACCCCGCTCCAAACAGGGAGCAGCTCGAAGCAGTTGCCGGGGGGAGTGCGATGGCGTTGAGGGAGGACGGTGGGTATACTACTTCCCTTCGTCTGTTCCCTTTACTTTTCCAGTATCCTGAGAGCAATGGCAGTGGGCACTGTGATTTTCAGGAAGCGGACAGGATATATCAGGTTTTACTCCAGAACATCAACTGGTTTGAGCTTTGCAATGACGATTTTGGGGATATTCCCTTACATCACACTGCCAAGTTTGCTCTGGATATCTCTGCGCGCGGGGCACATAGAGCGAGATCAGTACATATCTATGTCGACGCCTCGTACGGAAAGACGCTCAGGGACTCAGCCTGGGCCTTCGCTGCTGTCGCGATCTCGCCTGACGACGCGGTGAGCTTCCTGGGATGGCAAAAAATGAGCGCGTGGGAATCCACAGCAATGCATTTCGAAGAGGACGACGTCACTAGCACGACTATCGAGCTCATGGGGATATTATGGAGCTCACTCTGGGTCTTGGGTTTCTTCGGGCCGAACGCGGTGCACTCCCCCCCAGCTCTGGCCATTTTTTGTGATAACCAGTCGGCTGTCAACATATCCTTGGGTTTGGAGGTCCCGTCGGAGAACCAGCACCTGGCCTGGCTTACATACCATACATACCAGTGTGCGCTCAGGAGACACGGCACTTTGCTTTTGCATGTATGCGGTCACTCTGGGCATCCTTGGAATGAGTTGGCAGACAGTCTTGCACGGTCGGACCGAGCGGCTGGGTGTTCACCCCCGCCGGCCTTACGCGAGGCACTCAGGTACACGAACGACCTCGAATGGTGGTGGCTAAAGGAGGCACCTGCAGCCACAAGAGAAGCGTACCCTATAGGCCCCGACAACACCTTTCGGTATCCTGGGCGCCCTCAAGTGTCGGTGGAGACGCTAAGGGATACTATGGGATCCCAACCCTCGCAGAAGGCGACCCCCAAGTCTTGCCAGTTCAGTATCAGCGTGAGGCTTGCCACCTTCAACGCCAAGACAGGCAGGGACGCGGAGGCCACGGCGGCAAGGCGCGCCAAAACGTCGGGAGAGGTTCTCAGGTTGCAGTTCGCTCAAGAGCAGTGCCACATCATTGGGGTGCAGGAGGCGAGGAATCCGTCGGGGGAGAGATGTTCTGCTGGATACTTTGTGCTTTCCTCGGGTTCCGATGGTGGCAAGAACTTGGGTGTCGAGCTTTGGGTCTCACTGCACCTACCCTACGGGCGACGAGGGGGCGAGGAGCTTTTCTTTGAGCAGAAACATTTTAGACCGTTGTACGCTACCCAGAGGCACCTGGTGGTTGGCTGCTGTGCCCCACTCTTTAGGAAGGTCATCCTAGTTGCCCATGCGCTGCACAACGGTGACGAGTATACCTCGCAGCAGAGGAAACAGTGGTGGCGGGACCTCATTGGGATCTGCCATAAATGGAAAGTACAGTTGGCCTTCCTGGACGCGAATGCCAGGCTCGGCAGCATTGTGTCTGAGGCAGTGGGCAGCGAAGGATTCAGGCAAGATGAGGACGAATCGGGCGGGCTGCTTCATGACATGCTCTTGGAGACGGGCTTAGCTGCGGCTAACACGCTAGTCCCCTCTCTCAGCAAGGACTCGTACACGTTTGTCTCGACGAAGTCGGAAACACCACACAGAATAGACTACATTGCGGTTGAACAGGACATGATTCCCGCATTGGGGCAACATCAAGTACGATATGATATTGATTCCTTTTGCACTGGCAAGGATCATTATCCTGTATTCATGCGCTTCGAGTCCCAGGGCTCCACCAAAGCAGCGCAACAACAGAGCGGCTACGACGCTAGGGGCACCCAGGACCCTGATAAGGCAGCAGCCTTCAGGATGCACCTGGCAGCGTTTCCCACGGTGCCTCACCAGGTCGACATGAATCAGCACTTGCACGACATCATTCAATACATGTCCGTGGGTGCACAAGCTTGCTTCCCTAAGCCCGCACGTACTCCGATCAGGCCATATGTTTCAGAGGCTCTTCTGGGCATTATCATCTTCAGAAGGCAAGTACGGCAGGCGTGGCGTCTCTGGGGTAAGCAGGACTCTAATGGGCTCAGGAGGCTGGTCGCCGCGGCGCTGGAAGCGGGGGCCCCCCAGAACATCGCCGATCTTGAGCTGGACCTCCTGGTCTCTGAGCTTTTCCAGGCTTTCGCTGAGTGGGGTAAGCAGATCTTGGCGGCAAGCGAGCTAGCCGCGCACATGCTTGAGTTCCTGGTCAAGTCGAAGCCGGCCCTGAGAAGGGCCTTGAAGCTCTCGCGCAATGAACTGTTAGATGACCTTGCGCAGCAGTTGTGCTATGCTAGGTCCTCAAACGAGAGTAGAGTGGAATGGAGAGTGCTGTGCCAGCTGCAAAGGTTTGGGGGAAAGCGCTCCAAGTTCCAAGTCGACGGGCTTAGGATACGACGAGGTTCTCAGGGCGAGGTTCTTGCCACATCTGGAGATCTCTCGGAGGCCCTCACTGATTATTTCACTGTGATTGAGAATGGGCAGGCACTCAGCTGGGAAGAACTGGTTGAGAGATACAACGCCCTCCCTGAGCGTGGAAATGCGTATCCCAGGGAGTTGGACATGATCACCCCCTTCCGCAGGCTCAAGCACGACATCATGAAGGCAGCCAAGAGGAGAGGGGCTGGGCCTGACGGGCTAAGCAATGATCTTTTCCAGGTCGCTCCGCAAGAATGCACTCAGATATTGCTGCCGTTGTTCGTGAAAGTTGACATGGCGTCCAGAGAGCCCCTGCTGTTCAAAGGAGGTTGGCAATGTGATCTACACAAATCTGGGCCCCCCGAACCCCTGGAGCACTACAGAGGCATCCTGCTGGGATGCCACACGGCGAAGTTGCACCATGCCTTCCTCAGGAGTAAACTTCTAGAGGCAACGACGAACATGCTGTCGGTGGTCCAGCAGGGAGCTCTCCCTCAGCGCGGCACTGACATTGCATCCTTGCATCTTCGGTCGGCCATGTTGGCTGCCAAGGCTAGGAAGCGCACATACTTGTCGCTGTACACCGATCTAAAGGCGGCATTCTACTCGGTCATCCGAGGGTTCGTTGCCAGAATGGCCCAGAGCAGTGAGGACATCCAGAGCACGCTTACGGGCTTGGAGATACCTAGTTGTCTGGAGCCCCTGTGCCATGCCCTAGTCGCCAAGCCTGGAGCCCTAGACGGACTGAGAAGCAAGCACCTTCTGGAAGCAGTAGTTGATGTGATGGAATGCAACTGGTTCCAAGTGCGGGGGAGTACCAGGGTCGTCTCCCCCCGCCTAGGTACGAGGCCAGGCATGCCACTAGCAGACCTCCTGTTCATCATAGCCTTCGACCCAATCATCATCGCGGTCAACAGTAGATTAGCTTCCCTGGGATATCTTCAGAGGACTAAGGATGTGGTCCCGTCTCAGAGGATTTTCAGAGGGCGTGATCACGAACATGTAGAAGAAGACGTATGGGATCCTGCCTTCATGGATGACCTCGTCAACGGCATCGAGCTGTTAGACGCTAGGCTCTGGAAGGAGGCGGCCATCGCCCTAGTCACGATCATGTACGAAGAAACCAAGTCTAGGGGGTTCACCATGAACTGGAAGGCGGGCAAGACGGAGCTCATGGCCTTCTTCAGCGGCACAGGTTCCAGGAAGGCACGAGGGGAGTGCGCAGCCTTGGCTGCCACTGGCCTTCTCGTCCCCTCCTTAGGTGTCTCCCTGTGCCTCACTAGAACCTACAAACACTTGGGAAGCTACCAGGACCATCAAATTTCTCTGGGACCTGAGCTGGCGCACCGTTGTCATCAGCAGCGACGTCCCCTAGGGGTACTGAGGCGCACTGTTTTTCCCAGGAAGCAAGTCAATGTAAGGGCCAAGTTAATTTTTGTTACGTCTTTGTGCACGTCGCACCTTCTGTATAATGCCCTCACCTGGCACAAGTTAAACGTGAAACAGATGGCGACCCTTGCCCACAACTATTTGAGCCCGTTTAGATTGGCGGCTGGGCTTGGGTACGACGCTGGCTCTGGCAAGGTTGCTGCAGACCATAGAGTTTTTGCCAAGTGTGAGATCTTGCCCGTCGAGCTGGTACTGAGGCTCAGGCGGCTGCGATTTCTTCCCAGGCTTCTCAAATCGGCGCCTGCGTGTCTGCTGGCGATCCTGGACGAGTTAGCCTCTGTGCCTGAATCATGGTCCGCATTGCGTTGCGATGACCTGATATGGCTCAGCAGACACGTGAATCTGGACAGGGCATTCTTACCTTCAGGGCCCCCGGCTTGGTGGCTGTGGCTCCTGAGGTCTAGCAGCAACAAGTTCTGGAGGCGAATTTGCAAGCAAGCTGAATCGGCTGCCAGGGCCAAATTTTTGGACGATCAGCGCCATGAAGAATTCAAAGACGGGTGGCGAAAGTGTTGCATCTCCAAGGGTCTTGCGCTCCCGTCGTTTCTGCGTCCGCCGTCGGTCCTTGCCTTGTATCCCTGCTTGGA